CGCCCGGGGCAGGGTGTCGGACCTGATGATCTGTTTAGGTCCCATCTAACCCTAAGCACTATGATACTATGATTTCTCTAGGGAGCGAGGCCTCCAGCCTGTCAATTTTCCTTAAAGGGCTCTGCCCCCTTTCCCCTGTAATGGGGATTAAAAGGGCCCTGTTATACCATCCCTTCCCTTCTACAAATATTTTAAGAGCAAAGAGTGCTCCCTGCTCAGCTTTTCTCAAAAGAGCAGATAAAGATACCTACCCTTAGCAGAAGATTCTGGGCTCTAGATGCCCAGTGGATGGCAGCACCTGTCTACATTCCTGAATAAGGCAGAGAGGTAGGAATTCAGAAACATCTCAGTCTTCTTGTTGGCTAGCTCTAGGTAGCTTCCCTTTTGCCATGCCTCATTGTTTCACATACTCTGTATAGGAAGTCTATACATCTTACCCAGGCATTGCAACACTGAATTTATAGGTACCCAAGTCCTTTCTCGGATCTAGCCATAAGTGCCTATATAACTTTTGAAAATGAGACTAAGCACCTTAAGTGTGCTTTTTGCAAATTTCTCAGTCGGTTAACATTAGCGAACTGTTTGCCCTATTTAAAGTGTGTCCACTTTTTCTCTCGGTGTGGCAGGGCACCAATTGGTGCCTGCCACTTTAAGGCTTGAGAGCAGGTAGCAGGGCAGCCTGCAGGTGTGACCTAGTGCTGATGAGGCAATCACATGACTTCAGGAGAGCCCTGGGATAGGAAGAAAGGACCGAGGTGCCTCCATTCTCGATCCAGGCTCTCGGGACTGAGGGAGCAGTCTGCTGCTGGCAGCTGGAATAACCGCATCTGGCTGAGCTGTTGCTTGGAACATTTTGGAGGTAAGGGCAGGAGCTACGGGGATGGCAGGAAGCTCCTGGTCCTGGGTATGATGTGAAACTGCAACCTGCTGGGAAAGGATGGTTTGGTGGGACTGCCTGTGGTGGGGCAGTTCCCCAGAAATGCCAGGCCAGTTGCCTCCCCAGTGAAAGACAGGTAGGGGCGCCTTATAATTCCAGTCCCCATTACTTTGTGGGTAATTATGAGTGGGGACAGACAGTGGGAGGGCCAAGCATGCCTGGAGAGAGAGGCATCTGAGTCCCGCAGGGGTGTAAGACTCTGGAGGCCCCAGAGAGGAAGCAGTGGAAAGGAGCAGCCCCAGTGAGTGGGACAGAAATTGTGTGTAGCCCGCCCACAGTAGGGTGCGCCGTTGTGGCCTGAAGGCCTGGGTGTTGGTGGGTACAGAGTAGCGTTGCATAGGGTGACGTGAAGGGCTGAGTAGGGTTGCAAGAGAAGCCTGAAGGGCAGCACATGGGCCAACCCCCATGTGAGGGACAACAGGAGTAAGTTGCCCAGAGAGGGGTTAGAGGCTGAGCTCTACCCAGGGCAGGGCATAAGGTCAGTGCGTCGTAGAAGAGGGATCACTTGAGCGACCCGAAGGTGCTGCCTGTGCACTGGCCACTGTGAGAGTAGGTAAGCCTGATGGCCCGGGGCGGTGCTTAAGAGGAGCAGGGCAGGTTGAGAGTGGCCCAGTGAGGAGCAGTATGTAAGAGGCCCTGTGAGATGGGGCAGAGTGAATGAGGTCTTGTGAGAGGGGCAGAGCATGTGAATAGAATGAGAGAGGCCCAGCAAGGGGCCGAGTTGGCTCAGCCTTGGGCCGGAGTTATGATCAACTTATGATGCCATCTGCGAGGCATGGGACACCGTGTAGGAGTGGTATGGAACTGTGTACAATGTCCCCTGGCCTCAGGGCATTAAAATGAGCAGCCTCCCACATTTTACACCAGTTTATAAAACAGCAAGTCGTGGCGGAAAAGATTGGGTGGACTGTCCCACATAGACATGGGGATGGGCCCATGTTGAGACCCAGCCTTAAGCAGGCCCTCTGTCACACTTAGTTACAGGATTATAAATCTGGGGGTAACTCCAAAAAAGATCAATGTAGCTACCCTGGAATTACATCAGGGCAAATGAAGGCAAAGTACGGCCTTTGCACTGGAACAAATCAGCCTAATTCTTGTAATATGACTGCCTTTTACCAGTTCAATATTGACTGTCCTGCCTAGCATTAGGGTTCACAAAATGCAAACTGGGCCTTGGCCCTTAGGAATCAAAGTCCATAGCATTAACATACTACATTGTCTTGCTTTGTCCAGTTTTCATTACCTTCTGCTTGTCAAATAATAATAATTCCACTTTAAGCAGTATCTCTGACAGCTCTCTAAGATGCCATGATGTACGCTTTCTCATTAAACAAGATAAATATGATTTTTGAAATATTTAATCAATGACAGATAATCATCTTGCAAATGTGAAAGAGATATATATGGAACACTGACATTGTATCATATGCTGACATACAGGAAGGTGGTATCTATTAATTGTGCATATATATATGTGTACGGGTGTGTGTGTGTGTGTGTATACATATATATATATTTTTTTTTTACATATACTTTTCTTTTAACTAGAATGACAAAAAATCTGTGCAGATGATGTATCAGCAAGGCAAATTTAAAATGGCCCACATACAAGAGATCAACGCTCAAATTCTTGAACTCCCTTATAATAAAACATCACTGAGTATGATCATACTGCTACCAAATGACATCACTGATAGAGCCAATGGCCTGAAAAAGGTAAAGACATTATCTAATGGAATAATACATAAGTGCCTGGACCCTGCCTTTCATTTCTATCTGAATTCGACTTGGATGAAGAGCTAACATTTTAATAATCTCTCATTCCTCCATAGTTCATTTTGATCTCTCTTTTTTTGGTCCTGTAGATTGAAAGGACAATGACTGCTGAGAAATTAGCACTTTGGACCTCCTCAGAAAGCCTGGTGGAGAGAAAAATGGAGGTGTATCTCCCCAGGTTCAAGCTTGAGGACATGTTTTATCTCAAATCAACTTTAAAAGAAATGGGGATGACTGACGTCTTTGATGAGTTAAGAGCTGATCTTTCTGCAATATCAAGAAAAAGCCATCTATATATGTCAGAGGCTGTTCACAAGGCCTATGTGGAGGTTAATGAGGAGGGCACTGAGGCAGCAGCAGCCACAGGAGCAGTCATTAACAACAGATCCTTGCCATCTAGTGAAGTATTTATGGCTGATCATCCTTTCTTCTTCTTTATCCGGCACAATCCCACCAATACCATACTCTTCTTTGGCAAACTCTGCTCTCCTTAAAATCAAAGTTCTTTTTTTTTTTTACCACAGCCAGGGACAGATGGAACAATATTGAACTACAGCCTGACATGAAATATTAAGGGAAAAGTTTATTTTCTCAATACTTTTCTAATCCCTTGACATTCAAACTAGAAATGATGATGATAGCTCCTTCAATCCCTTTCATAGGGGCAATAGACTTAGGGTCCATTCTGCTTCCACAGACCAGAATTCCTTACTGTAATGTAGGCCAGCAGTTCCCAAATGTTAAGAGCTCTCTGAAAGTCAAAAAAGGTACATGGTATACCACCCAAATGCTTATATTCACTATATTTATAGCTAAGTCATACTACTTTGGTTAGGGGCAGATCCAGGATTTCCCAAAGCGGGGTTCAGAATCAGTACCCCACACTGCAGGGGTATCTGTACTCCCCTGCTCCCAACCTCCTCCTCTCCTCTGGTGGCAATGCTGCAGAAACCTCTGGAGTCTTTTTTTAAGTCCCTAAAGCAAATGAAAATTCCCCTCTCTCTTACCCTTCATGCTCAGAGGCACATCCCCTCCCTTTCCCTTCCTCCCGGGGTGTGCAAAGTGTGTCCTATTCGATTCGGATTCGCCCAAATCAGGGACAGTGATTCAATTCGTTGATTCAGATCACTGTCCCCGATTCGATTCAGCCGAATCTGAAGATTTGATGCTGATTCAGAGAATCAGCAACTCAGACATAGACACAGCTTTAAATGCTTTTTTCTACATACCTCAAGGTACCATGCGCAGCTTGTGAACGCTGCAATGCTGGGGTGGATGAAGCGTCCCACAGGAGTGTGGGGGGCCTTCCACGTGCTCGGCGGAGTACTTCTGGTCCATTTCTGGGTCTGCCAGGGAGCATGCAGGGGGCACACCCGTGCCCCCCTGGCTCAGCAGTCAGCCACAGGGGAACCCCAGGTGCCCCCCCAGATCCAGGAGGCACCAGTTGCCGAGCTGGGTGCTTCCCAGTGCACTCCCTGGCGGACCCGGGAGTGCTTCTGGTCCACTTCCGGGTGTGCTGCCGAGCATGCAGGGGAGCCCCCCCACACTCCTGTGGGACACTCCATGTGCCCCAGCATTGCAGCATTCATGAGCCACCTGCTACCTAAAGGTATGTAGAAAAAACATTTAAAGCTGTATCTATGTCTGAATCACAGTTTTTCCGAATCTCACCAAATTGATACAGAGAAATTAAAGGGTCCTGTGATTCGATTTGGATTTGGAGTTTCGGCCACCAAAGCTTCGCACAGCCCTACTTCCTCCCTCTCCTACCTGCTGCTTTCCCTGCTGCCCTAGGAGAAGGAGGACCCTGTGTCTGCCCCAGTCAAGCTGCACCAGGGACTGGACTCAGCTGGGTTGGGTACTGGACAATAACAGCAGGAATGGGCAGAGGTAGTTCCCTCTCCCACTGCACTGTTGCCCCTATCACCATCCCCATTTGAGTCCAGCGGGGCTGGGATGGACAAAAGTGACTCTGAAGCTCCTCCTGTCCCCAAGACAGCAAAGAAAGGAGCAATGGGAGGGGGTGGGGAGGGAAGGAGAGGGGATATGCCTGTGAACACCAGGGGGAAGGAGAGGGGGTTCACTTGCTTTAGGGACTTAATGAAGTTTTCAGAGGCTCCCACCATGCACTCCAGTCCAAAATGGGGAGGGGTGGACCAGCACCATTGCATTCCCTCAGTATCTGCCCAACTGTGGTATTACACTTTTAATCAACCCGTATAACACCCAGTGGCAGCCACTGTACCTTCAGACATACATATCCATATTTGAGCAAATGGACAAAACAAAGAAAATAAGTGGCTTCCTTGAGCCAGATCTTCAACGTTATGGGCCAGAATGTTAATTTCAACTCAGTTGTCTTAAGGGAATGGCTGAAGACTGCCAGGTATCTGGCTTTCAGCTACTTGCTCCCTCCTACCTCCACATAGAGGATATGCTGTTGTGGGGCAGGATTCTGGTCTGCACAGTGGCTCTTTACTTCAAGGTGGTCACTGAAGTAAGTTGACTTTGGAGCAGTCCTTAGAATGCTTCTTTTGGGCTCTTTTGACACCTGACCAGCCTAACACCATGGAGCAGAAAGGTGATTTAGAGCCCTTCGCAGCACATTCTTCAGCCCTGCCAAATCCCAGCTTGGCAGTGAGCCATGTGTGGCGCTGTCAATTCTCTGTTTCCTGTAGCAGCCTTTGTATTCAAAGCAGGAAACATTTCCCATTTGATGAATCTTGCTGTGCTTTACCTTGCTGCGCTTGCTTGATCTGTCTTTGTGCTATTTTGCATTATATTAAACCAATTGCTGCATGTGAAGATTTTTTTTATTTGGACATAAGCCTATAGCATTTGAGTCTGCCAGACTCCAAACTGGAGTGATGTATTATTCATGTGACACCTGAATTTTGTCACATAGGGAGATCATTATCATTATTTTGTATCTTAGTAACCTGTAGGGGTCCCACCCAGGCAGGCTGACCCTGACCGCTCCCTCCTAGCTGGGACTACTCAGACCCAGCTCAATGTGCTCCAGTCTGGGCATACGTGTAAACCGCACACCCACGAGCTTTCCTGGAGCAATAAGCTCCACCATTTCTTGCTGCGCGCTAGTGGCACATGTAGATGAGCCCAGGAGTTACTATCCTCATTTCATCAATGGGGCAATGAGACAGAAAGATTAAATGAGTCACCTGTGCTTGTAAAGGAAGTCTGGTAGAAATGGAAATTACTTAAATTTCAACCCATAGTTTACTCTCAGGATCATCCTTTCAGTTGTGCTGCCAGAGAGAAAAGGCCACCCCCCTGCCTAAGTGTATTCCCACTTAGCCCAACCCAGCCTCACTTTTCAACCCCCCATTCACTGCCTCTGTAACAGAGAAACATTTTTCTGCCCATATTCCCTCCCACTCCTACCTACTTCCACATCCCTGCCTCAAAATCGGAGGATACCCTTTCTCTCCCTTACTGTTCCCCCTGAGCCCATGCCCTGCTCTTACACAGGGGCCCATGGCTGTGCCATCCTACTCACACCTCTGCCTCACACCCAGGGGAGTCTCCTCCTCCTTCACTTAATGTCTCATACAAACCTGTAGCTGCCCCTCACAGGGGGACTGTGGCTGTTCCACCCCAGATATGTCTACAACTCAATGGCAGGGGCGTCAGACAATAGGAAACTCAGACAATGATGGCAGTAAAATATGCAGGTAGCATTGATGGAATAGAACCAGAATAGGCATGAATTAGATTGAAATAAATATCATTTATTTGCAAGAGTACTGTTCAACTTCTGGGTGGCTGGGGGCCACAGGCCCCCCTGGCCATACACCACATGGACTGTACACTCAGCAGGATGCATGCCATGTAGGACATGCTGTGATATGACATGCTGCACAACAGCCACCCTCTCCCCCCTCCCTGCTCTGTGCTGACACCCCCATGCTCTGTATGTCGCACCATGCCACATGAGCCCCTCTCACTGTACTGTACAGACAGGCCTGTACTGTGCTGCCTGGGGTCCTTGGCTGCCTGGCTGTGGGCTCCTGTGGGCCACTCCCCCGCTACCCCATCCTAAGGGGTGGGGGCAGAGAGCAGAAGCCAGAGGAGGCAGGGGGAGACTGCTGGCAGCAGCTGGAACAGTAGAAAGACTGGGAGCCTGAGGACCACAGGTTAACCCCTCAGGGGCCAGATGTGGCCTGCAGTCCTCCACTTGGACAGCCCTGTTTTACAACAAAAAGGAGAGAGAGGAAAGCATTTAAGACTTAAGACTTTCAAGGCTACTTGAAGGGCTGCAGAAATGCCTGCTGTATTCTATCCTCTTCATGGACCTCACTTAAAACTCTTGGGATGGGCACAACATCAAAGGGGGCAGGGACTTAGTGCATGCCAGCTGCCTCATGGAAATTACCTGGGTAATGCTCTTATCCCACAGCAAAAGAAAAGTCCTGCTCAGTCTGGTCAGCTCTGCAGCCCTAGGCTGGAGCAGGTTGTTGCTGTGTGAGAACTGAGCATGTGCCATCCTGGCAGACATGTGCTCCAAAAATCTGAAAAAGTTTGGCCCTTTCCACTCCTCTCCCCCCCGCCCCAAAGGGCAATTATGTGTTCTGTTTGCTACCAACATAAACTATGCAGCTTACAGAAAACCATGTAATTTAGATCAGTGCTGCCTTGGCCTTTTTGAATGTTGGTGCCTAGCTCAGAAGTCCTTCACTAAATGTAGTAAGATGTTTGTGTGAGACTCAAACCTCTTTCCACACTTCGTAGCTGGAGCCTGCCTTCATAACAAGCTGAAGGTGAATGCTAACTGTGACCAGTGACACAATCATTACTGAGAAACATTTTTTTGTGTTGCAACCTTGTAACTTCAGCCGACCTGGATGGAAAATGAAGCATCAAGATGCTTAAATGTTTTCTCCTGGAAAGAACAAACTAACCTCTTTTTCCAAAGTGTGGAAGTTGAGGTTGAAATGTTATTTTGCAGCTAATAACTCTATGCTGCATGGTCAGGGAAAGGGGGAGGGGAGGGGAGGAGAGGAGAGGGAAAGAAAGAGAAAGATCACTATGACAAGCTGCCTTAGGGTATCATGTTCTGACTTTAAGGGCATGTGTACATGTGCAATTAAATGTGACTGAATATACTCCAGCTCAAGTCAGCGTAAACTAATTCCAACATCACCATCTACACATGTGTTTAAGCACATTAATTTACTGTGCTGCTGGATACCACTTGTATCTGACAGGACTATCCAGCAGCATAGTAAATTAATCTACTGTGCCCTAATTGCCACTCACGTGTAGACGGTGACGCTTTACTTTGTGGCAAATTAGTCTGCTGCAGAGTAAGACATCTCATGTAGATGCACCCTAAATGAATGAAGAGGATCACTCAGGATTTCCTTCTGTCTTCCTTCACGATCCAAGACTTGGATGGGTGACATAGAAACTGAAGGCCAGCCAATTTAAGCAATAAATTCCTGGCTTAAGCCATGCAAGTGGATGCCCTGCTAACATTAGCAACTTGCACAGTTATAGGTAAGCTGATATGCATCTCTACAATGACTGAAATCTCTCTTATAATATATATGGGATGTCCGTCTCTACTAGCATTTTTACATATGCAGGTGCCACAGTGTGGGGCGCTTTGAAATGTGCCCGGCGCTGCAGCACATGCATTTGTATAAACAGTGAAGTGTGCATTGGTGTGTACAAAATGGCGGTGGTCTGCTTTTGAACTAAAACACATTGAAAGTGTTTCACCATTTATACAAATGCCTGCAACGCAGCATCGTGTGCGTCAGCTCACGTGCAGAGCAGACTTGATCGATCGAGTCTGCTCCTATGCACTGGATTTCCAGCATGTCAGAGTGTTGCATAAATTGCTGATTTTATCCCCTGGAGGCTAGTCCAATTCACCTCGAGAAGAGAGTCACACTTTCAGGCTGGGTCCAACTCTATTTTATTGCTTGCAAGCAGGCCGACAGAGGAGCTTGTTGCTCAGATCAGTGTTGACCCTAAACAAAGAGCACGCGTGGCTTTTATTGAG